CTTGACTTGACTTGACTTGACTTGAAATTGTAATACGATAACCTATTCGCTGACTCATCTAATCGCGTGGCTTGCTTTCGCACGCTTGGATTTTGAGGCGCGTTGTCGAAGCTGAATCTTGTGTCGACGTTCATCTCTTTCTCTCCCGCGATGTTTAACACTACTTCCGCCTGGGGTCAGCCCCAGCAGAACCAACAGCAACAACCGCAACAACCGCAGCAACCGCAGCAGGCCCCGTCGGCCTTTGGCCAACCTAGCGGGTTCGGAACCGGTGGAACAGGCGGTGCGTCTGAGCTTGCCGTGTTGGTGTGCCCACGCTGACTATTTGGCGATGCTCGTTTTCGTATTTGGGTTTTCCTTGATTTTATTGCGGGCGTCCACGCTTGCGGCTCGTGGCTCACACCTTGTTCTCCTATTTCTACCTCGATCTAATCCGCAGCATTCGGTGGTGGTACGTTTGGACAGAATAACCCACAGCAGCAGCAGCCACCAGCAGTGAATCCGATGTTTGGAGGAACGACGAATAATAACACGACTGGTACGTCTGGCTTCGGTGCGTCTCAGTTAATGCAATAGTCCGTCTCAACGCGAAACCAAACTGATGACTTTGGATCAGGTACGTTCGGCGGCGGCGGTACATCTGCGTTCGGCACCAGGCCTTCGGGGTTCGGTGGATTTGGTGGCGGCACAACTGGGGCGACTGCCCCGACACCTGCGTTCGGCAGTGGCGGCGCAGGCGCGTTTGGGCAGACCAATGCGGCCGGCACAGGCACATCCGCGTTTGGCCAGCCATCGGGGACAACGAGCGCGTTTGGTAGCGGGTTGTTCGGGGCAAAACCGGCTGCGCCAGCGGGCGCTTTTGGGAGCACATCGACAGGTGAGCGGGTGCTCAACTCGTTTTCATTCCTTACCTTTCGTTAGATGTTTGAGAGCGAGCACTGACAGGTAACTCTGGTGCTGCGCACCTAATAGGCCCAGCTGCGACCGCAGATATGAATACCGCGCCCGTCACGACCGGATCTTCGAACCCGCCGTATGTTGCATACACGGAAAAAGATCCGGCTACTGGTGGACCATCGTCGGTTACTCTGCATTACCAAAGCATCAGTATGATGCCCGCATATCGGGGCACATCGTTTGAGGTGTGTATTTTCTTCTAGAAGTATGGATGTTATTGATTCCTAACTCTAATCTAATCCTTTCGCAGGAGGTCCGTGTTCAAGACTACGCACAGGGGCGCAAAACCGCAGGCGGGTTCGGACAATCCGCTACCTTCGGGCTCAACCAGCCCGCACAGTCGGCGACTTCTACCTTTGGGCAGCCTGCCGCGAGCACGAGCGCGTTTGGTGGGTTTGGGCAGAATAGCACACAGCCGCAGCAAAACCCAACGCCGCAGCCGGCGAGTGGATTTGGCGGGTTTGGACAGCCTGCGGCGTCGCAGCCGTCGGCATTTGGCGGAGGGACGGGCACAAGTGCGTTCGGTACGTTTGGCCAGAACAATGCCCAGCCTCAGCAAACTCCAGCACCGAGTGTATTTGGTGGCGGTACGGGAGCGTTTGGGCAAAATGCGAATCAGCAGCAGCCCGCACCGAGCGCTTTTGGTGGCGGAGGCACCTTTGGGCAGAATAATCAGCCCAAACCGTTTGGCACGTTCGGCTCGACGACAGCGGGCACAAATGCATTCGGCACAGGTGGCGCGTTTGGCCAGAGCAACCAGCAACCTGCTCAACAGACTGGTACAACTGGGAATGCATTCGGCCAACCTGCGAGCCAGCCTCAGGGCACGACAAGTGCATTTGGCTCCTTCGGTGTGTATTTTATGTACTTGCAAGTTTCCGGCTGTCTCTGAGCTCACGGTTCTCTAGGTGCAAATAATAATAACAACTTGTTGAAACCCTCCGTGTTTGGGCAGCCTGCGAACCAACAGCCAACAAGTGGTTTTGGCCTCTTTGGCCAAAACAACAGTCAGGCTCAGCAGCCACAGCAGCCGTCGACGGGATTATTTGGTGGTGGCACCGCTGGCAGTGGCCTCTTCGGACAAAATAGCAACCAGCAGCAACCTCAACCGGGTCAACCGCAGAATCAGACGCAGCCATCTACTGGACGTGAGTGTATCTCGTATAAATAGTAACAGTGATGTGATTGAACTTGTTTTGCATGTTAGTTTTCGGTCAGCCAACCAACCAACCAACCACGAGTGGCCTCTTTGGAGGCGGTGGGGGGACAGGTCTATTTGGCAATAACAATCAGAATAAGTCAGGTGTGTTTTTCAGGTCTTATTCATGGTTAATGCAAAGTTCTGACGTTCTTTGTTGTAGCATTTGGCGGAGGTGGACTTTTCGGGCAGAACAGCCAGCCAGCAAATGCGGGCACGACGCAACCACAACCTGGCGGTTTTAGCAATCCGTTCGGTCAGTCAACTGCCCAGCCAGCTGCCGGGACAAATGCGTTTGGCGGCTCAACGCTATTCGGCCAAAAGCCACCAACCACAAACATGTTTGGGCAATCGGCCGCGCAGCCGTCCACAAATGGCATGGGCAACTCGATCTTCGGCGGGAGTGTGCTTGGCGGACCAAACGGTGGTTTCGGAGCATCTACCGCAGGCACTGGGGGTGCGCAGGGTGCGGGTATGTTGACCGCATCCGTCGCGCAGCCCGTGCAAACAAACCTTCCAATCTTCAGCCTGTTACAGTCCGGCGCACGGTCAACGTCTCTTGAACCGCCGCCAAAGAAAGCGACGAGCTACTTCGTCGACATTCCAACTCGCTCACCGCTTGGCATGTCTACGTCGCGTCTCGGCGGGGGTGGGAAGCTGCGCGGTTTCGGTTTCTCACAATCTTCGGCCGGATTGAGTAGAAACAGTGGTTTATCGTCGACGATGACCCTATCGTCAAACGCGCCAAGCTCGCCTGCACTGAGCAGAGGCGATGGTAGAGGCAGAAACTTGCTTGGGCCCGAAGCGTTCCTTGGTAACGCAGGACTTGGCAATGACGGAAAGTCAAGCCCAAAGAAACTCATCTTGGACAAGAAAATGGACCCGAGCCAGGTGTTCGGGCGTTCCAACGCTAGGAGCGCGTCGGCGGCTGACGCAAAGCCGACGTTCAACCCTGCGATGAGTGTAGCTGCGCGCGAGAAGGAACTCTTTTCAAACGCCGCGCCGAGACCACCACCAGCATCTCCGGTACCTTCTGCGTCGCCTGGGAAGAAATCTGCTCCACTTGAGAAGGACTCAACGGAACCACAGGAGGGCGATTATTGGGTGAAGCCGTCATTGGACGTACTGCGCTCCTTGAGCAACGGACAGCTGTCCTCGTTCTCGGGCCTCGTCGTCGGGCGGAAGGGCTTCGGGGAGGTGCAGTTCCTCGAACCGGTGGACCTGACGGCCCTACCCCGATTGAGTGCCTTGCTAGGTCGGCTCGTAGAAATTGACAACCAGGAGGTGTGCGTGTACCCAGATGCGGTGGAGGGAGACGATGTTAAGCCGCCACCGGGCGAAGGCATCAACGTGCGCGCGCGCATCGCGCTACTTGGGTGCTGGCCTATCGACAAGGCGACCCGCGAACCGATCAAAGATGAGAAACACCCGCTGTTCATAAAGCACCTGAAGCGTCTCCGGAACATGAAGCATACCCACTTTGAGGGTTACGTTATGAAGGAGGGGAAATGGACATTCACTGTAGACCACTTTTGAGGAGCAGTCGATGATTGATGATTTGCTTATGATTTTGCCATGTTATAGTTTTCTTTCTTTTTCTTTCCTGTTCCTTTTGCCTTTCTCTTCGTCGCAAGCTATCGTGTATGTAATTAGTTTGCAATCATGTTTCCAATGCGATCTGTTCCCGCCACAGCCGGACGTGGTCTAAGGACTGCATAATGCGGTCAACATATATTCGGGACCGACTAAGTGTCTTCGTAAAATGTCTCCAAGCATTGAGTCCTTTCGATCTTGATACCCGCTCACCCTCTCAATTGTAACGATTCCACGTTCGTAACGATTTCACATTCTTTATCGAAAAGGGATATTATTATTATTATTTGCCGGTGCTTATTTCGAATCACCAGGTGTTCTTAGGGAAATAAATGTATTAGATACAATACTTAAGTAGCAGCGAGCGCAGCGATAACTAGAGAGGAAATGAGATAATGTCCGTTCTTTGCGATCAATATACAAAACTGTCAGACGAGAGGGAGAGAGACTCGTTGGAAGAAAGCAGGAATCTGTGAACAGGTAGCATTTATGTTTAAACTTTCAGTCAAAAATCAAACTTATCAAGTGCATTGCGACTTACGTACCGGATACCAAAACGTAGAACAGAGCCAGTCACACATGTACTATGTCAGCGGATCGCCTCCTGTACGGCTGGGACTAGAGTTTGCGTCTTTCGGCGGCAGGGCCGGCGGCGAGAGGTTGTCAACGCCATTTCTACGTAACCGCTCAACGCGTGCTGCCAGGGGTTCCGTATCCTCCGCATCATCCTCTTCGTCGTCTTCCACGAAGCTGCGAGCAGGAGGCCCGTCATCCTCCGACAGCCGTACGCGCCCCTCGTCGCGCGTCCACGTCTTGAGCCTAAGTTATCCACACCACGCATTGTTAGCACAAGTATTCCAGATTCATTGATATGGCTCATATTGGAACCCGAACGTACTGGTGCGCCACGACCGTCCGCAGACTGTTCGCCCGCCGCCAGAGGAGGAAGAGAGCGCAGACGGTGCAGATGGTGAAGAGCGAGATGAGCGGAAAGTTTCCAATTGGCTGTGGTTTAGGCGATTCTCGCGGTTCTTAAGAGAGTATGAATATGAAACTCGCAGATAGTTCTGGCGGCAAGCTCACCACCTGTGGGTGCCATATTTCTTACAGTGACTTGTGCTTGGGTTGTGTTCGGAGTCTGGATATGCTCCTTCGGGCAACCTTTGGTGTTTTGGGCATGATTTACAAGCACGTGCAAATATAACTTTAGAGTTCCTTATTTGTATAATTATGTGCATGCCTCTTTGAAAACGCCTCTGTAGCGCAATGGTAGCGCGTAGCTTTCCTACGGACTCGAACCATCGAATGATTACGTAATAGGCTAAGGTTGCGGGTTCGAGTCCCGTCTGAGGTTCTTACGGCTTTTTTTGTGCAAAGCCCATGCCAGTTTATGCATTTTCGTCTTATTTTGATCTCACAACAGGTTGGAGGATTGTTGAGCAGGTCTTTATTTCGATGTAGGTTAGCTCGATTTATGACCACGTGAAGGAAAAGTATCATCACGTGACGCTCGCGACGCGAAGGTCTATACCTGATGTAATTGGTAATCAAGTAAATGCAAGTTACTTTTAACTGATACTCTTCACAATGAAGAGGTCGATGAGGCTCAAATTAAGGGTTATATGTGTACGTATTTATTGCAGTTTTCCAGCACAGAGACAGTTATTTCATTGCTTATCATCTGTAGCTGTCAAGACACTGCATGAAATGGGCTGCTTGTGATCTGAAAAAAACTGAGATGGTAGCATGAAGCGACCAAATCCAGAATCCTCTCACATTCTTTTTCAGTCCAAACTCATTCCATTGAGTTCATCTCTTCTTTTCTTGGGTCTTACGAATATGTCGAATATTTAACACACATATATGTGGTGCTTTTGTGGCTTTCGTTGTCTAAACATTTGGGTCGACTCAGCAGGTGATTGGTTCAATTTTCAAAATTTCACTACCGAACCTCGCATCATTGTAACAAAATCTTGTGTTTAAGGCTTACAAGATTCAGTCTTTCTCCATACCGAATTGACTTCAAAGCCATGGGTTATGCTGTCCCGGAGCAGGTATACTACATTGCTCACTTTGGGTCTAAAGAAGAGGACGCAAATCTGCTTCGACAGCTGGGTCATACTGTGTCTAGGTGAACTTGTGGGTACTGAGAAAACCCGAACAAAACTGCAGATTAGTGACCTTCCCAATTCGAAACGGAAAATTTGGTATGGACGCAGGTCAGCGCGGCTATTCTATGCTCAAGTGCCCTATCTCACGATGGGATTACTATCTCGCGTTCGAGATGTAACTTACTATAGACATGAAACCTCCAAACATCAGTTTCTTGCTCGGGCCAAGCAGCCAGGTGGTTACCACATGTGCTCTGTATATCGATCGTCCACGCGCAGTGGGTGCGCTCAAGGACTTCCAGATGACTTCGAGGCTTCTAGGCCTAGTAAAGGCGTGTTGGAGGGGTGTAGGTCGCGAACTAGGGGACGATGAAAGATGCAGAATGCGTGAAATGGCAAGGGAGGTGCTCGAAGAGAGGCCTGAAGTGGGGGAAGGTGCTACTATACACCGCCGTCTCATATTCGATGTAGATCTGCCAAGCCAGAGTAAGCGCAGGTCAAAGGAAGGCTGCTGTTAGGCACGGAATAAAGCCACTAGCCGTCATATAGGCCACAGCTAATTAGATGCCTCATAAACGACATCATTATTTCCCGCATTAGTAACTCCACCATCCATGACGTGAGGATGAAGAACAGTTGTTATGCGAGAAAGGCTAAAAATCTCGCCGCGTGATGCAGTTATTAGTTTACCAACATTAGGATCGAGAAAATGGACGCGAAGATATAATAGATACTGACGTAGGCGTACGACGTGGGACAGAAATCTGTGCTTCATGTCCATGTCATATCCGGCCAGAAAGAAATACAATCTATAACGCACAATACAAGGAAGGACAATTGACCGAAAAAACCTAGGACAACAACATGAAATAAATAAATATTACCAACCCTAGAAGAAAGGAAGGACTCGGTCAGTAAGTTTAGGGAATTGAACAATTGGAAGACGTACAAGACCAGCAAACAAACGGTTATCAGCGTGAGTTTCGTACTGGTCCGTCGGAGCGTTGTTAACTTTCACCACGTCAAATTGATGTATTTCTTCAGTTCCAATGAAAGATCCGCTTGATCCCCGCCCATTTACACCACTCCAGGCAACGCCAACAAGGCCGCGCATTGCCACACCCACTCTTCGTTATCCTCGCCACATAAATGTCCGCTCCATTCGCCCTCGGATCTCGCCGTCGTTGATCCCACCGTGCACCCTTCCCTCCGATTTCCATTTGAACGTTAACGAACCCCTCAGGCGTAGGCGAGGAGGCCCGGGCAGGTGTGTCCCTTCCAGAGCTCTCGCTTCCGCTGGCTTCGCCGCCACTGCTGCTGTTCTCGCTCGTTGACGACGAGGAACCCTGCTTCCCTCGGCCGCGTCCGCTCGACGACGGCCGCTTGACACACTTCTTCCCCACCCTCAACTTCGCCATGCGCTTGGTAAGTCCAGGCCCCTGAGAGACGCCTCTCAGGAGCGGTGCACCCTTTGGGGATCTGCGACCGTTGTTCGGCTCTTTCTCCTCTCCCTGTTGATGCTGCTGGTGTTCGCCTTGGTTTTGTTGATGTACGCTGTGGAACCCGCCGCTCGATGCCTTGAACCTGCTTCTTGAAAGAAGGGGACATGCCCGTGAGAGTGAAGATGGCATGCATTTCGGCGTGCATGGAGACTGGCTTGCGATGGCCGTGCTTGCGCACATCTAAGCCGTCGTAATGCGGTCGATGGTGATTGTAGCCCGATGAGATAACCTTCCCGCCCTTGACCATAACTGCACCCAGCTTAAAACACATGGGAGACCTTTCCGCCGACTGCGCACATTCCGAAAGATAAAACTGCGACTTGTTCATTGCCACGAATGTAAAACGTCGTGCGAAACAATGTCTGCAAAAGAAAGAAAAAAAGAACAATGCGAATCAGCTTATGATCTTTTAACGATCGGTACCTAGATATGCATGACCATTGAACCTACATATTTGCTTAGCTTGAACAGCTGAGACGAAGGTAGTCGACGTATCGTTGGAGATAATTTCCTGAAAGACAGGATTCGTCGCCACAACTTAGGAGTCGCCCCGGACCTGCTTGCTCGTATTTGGCAGTAGCCTCTCGTTAAGGGAATCTGCGCGTCTCTCCACTGCAGCTCGACGCGTTTTGTCTCATGAAATATTCAGCTGAGGTGTTCTTTGCACCTGCTCATCTCTTGTTGTAATTGGTACGATGTGCTCGTGACTGCATCTGTCGCATACTTGTTCATGAAAGTATACAGCTGTCATTCAGTACTAGTAGTGCACTTCGACAAAATCTACCAGGCTTCCCCGGATTGTCCGCAGATATATTTATGTCTGGCTCTACCGGGAAGACTCTAAGCAATGGCACGCTCAGCCTTCGCTTCATGCAGAATGCTCAACGCGCCAAGCAGCAAGCCTCTGTCGACCTGGAGCGCGCTAAAGTAAAAGACGACGCAGAATGGGAAGTCTCGAGAGAGGTTAGAGACGCGTGGGGTATACCGCCGAGTTCGAAACCTGCTACTAAGTGAGTACACTAATCAAGTTCTGCGGAAGCCTCTGACTTATATTTACTCCTTTGCAGACAATCAATCTCTCATGAAACATCGTATCTTCCGTTTTTGTTCCCTTCGCTCCGTAAGAGTACCTCATCAGCGGACGATGAGAGCATGCCTGAAGCATCCACGTCGTCGACAAAAATCAGCGGGCGTAGAACGTTTAACAAAGGGAAGGAAGTCGTAGCTTCCGTGAGCAATCTTCTCAAAGCAATCGTGACGCATTGATCCTACGTACATCCGTGTTTTTTTATTTATTTAGACTACTCTTGAAGATGACACGGAGGACGTTCCGACGGATGGAAAAGCTCAGCAAGAAGACAAGATCCTCTGTCAATCTACAGCCACCGAACAACTTAGATGCATCCGCTCCTTCCCGGCGCAAAGAGCGCCCCGTCATGCGAGGGGGGTTATTAACGGCGCGTCGCGGGACAAGGGTGGCAGAAGAATTAAACACGAAGACCCATACTGTCGAGAGGTTGACAGCTCCTGGAGCTCCTGTGCTAACAATGATCTCTGAAGAGAAGGCCTCAGTTGTCGGGTGGGATTTGCGCAAAATGCGAAAGATGAGGGAAAAGGATGCTGCAGTGGAGGCCCTGGCGGAGTCTGCCGTTAATGCAGGCGAACAGCCCGGTGCTACGGCCAAACCGACCAGAGTATCAGGGGCCCCGAGCTTTTTGCGACCTGCGGGAGTAGATAGCCCCGCTGCGAACGCGACCGGCGGCGCGAAGAAGATCAAAAAGCGAAATCGTGAGGAAGGAGATACAGGGGGCGCGGAAAGTACGGGGAAAGTTTCCACGGCTGAGCCCGTTGTTGATGCTGGTGGACAGCGCCAAGTCAAGAAGAAGAAGAAACAGAGGAAGCAGGCAGAGACCTCTGGGACGTCAGCCTCAACCTCGTAATTTCACGGTATTACTGTTTTCTTCATCCTTTGTTATTAAACTTTACCCATGGATGTAACTTTTTTTTTTCAATTGCGCGGCGAACTCGATAGTAAGAGAACTTTGTGATGTAGCTCATGTCTCCGACGACCGTCTGGCTGCAGAATGCAGATCTTATCGCCGGAAAGAATTCAGAGAAATGATATACAGAAGTCGCCCCTTGCGAACTTGAATACGCTAGTATGCCCTTAGAATCGAGATTTCTCGTGCATTCGCAGTTAACTTCACGTAGTACATTTTCGATTTACCCGCGCGATTTACCCACTTCGCCAGTCAAAGTCGTATCCATGCTTTTGTTATCATACCGTGTGTCAGATTCTGTATACGTACGACTCGGCTGCTGCATGGATACTATGAGAAGCATTGTGATGAGGCAGTATACACGACTACCTCGGGCTTAATGGACACGCTAGCTCACGCGATCTTGCGCTCCCGCCCATGTCAGATGCACATGTGAAGCAACGCATCGCGTTCTATTTCATATTTTCATGTATGGAAACATTAGAACTCGTAAAAAATAAGACGCCCACTACGTTTGCTAACTATCGCCCCTTTTCTTAGGCGGTTCATATCGTGATCGGGCGCATGGGGAAATACCGTAAGCATAGGGCACTCATATTCACAATACTAGCGGAAACGACAGTAACGCCGCTCTAGAAATACAAAGCGTAGGACCTTCGCTATCTCTCCGGAATAGCAGCTTCAGGATTGGCCCCGAGTCACTTCTGGCCTTGCAATGGAAAAGACAAGAAGCGTTGCACA